CTTAGGCTATACCTTTTTTTTTTTATTTTCTAAGAAAGCATACAGATCTATTCTGGAGTCTGGTATATATTCCTGGAAACAAAGATGCAGTATGCCATCTTCCTATTTAATCACTTTAATTAAAAGAACCACCTCCCAATTAAAGTCACATGGAGCAAGGAAAGGTGCCAAACAAAATATTTATCAGCATATTGGTTCCCTGGGTAGATGATATTGTGTATCACATTATCTTGTGGTGCATCAAAAAGTTTTGACACCATGTAAATTCAATAATAGGGCTGTGCAGTGCTGTAGATTTGAAGGGGGAAAGATGTCCTACAGTATGTGAGGATGGACACTTGGCACCTGTCATCAGTTCCTTAAGCCTGAGGTGCATTTTCTGGAATTATGCTGCCGCTAAATCCTCTTTAGAAAGCATACAACAATTTAAAGGGCTGCAAATAGGTGCTACATGAACAACCATATGCTCTGAAGCATCTTCTCCCTTTCAAATCTAAAATACTGCATAGCCCTAAGAAGAAATCCATTTTTGGAGATGTGGTGGGCATATGAGTGCTTCCTAGTACAGACTTTTCATAAAGTGTGAAATAATGACTTTAGACCAGGGCTCTTGAAACTTGGCCCTTTTATGACTTGTGGACTTCAAGTCCCAGAATTCCTCAGCCAGGCATGCTGGCTGAGGAATTCTGGGAGTCGAAGTCCACAAGTCTTAAAGTGGCCAAGTTTGAAGACCCCTGCTTTAGATTAATTCTTCAGAAGACTGAGCATTCCCTCACACCTATGGTAAATAACTAAAGCCAATAGTAGATGAATCTCCAGTAGAGCGTAAAAGCCTTAGAGCATAAAGAAATTAAAAATTAGGTACTTTTAAGCAAGTCAACACAATATTATACTTATGTCCAGTAATAAATGTCATTCAAATTTGCATCATGCCTGCTGTTTCAAGTTAGTATGGAATAGGATTCCAGGAGCTGGGTAGATTTAGCTTTGAAATAAAAAGAGCAACAGAACAACAGAATAACAGAGTTGGAAGGGACCTTGGAGGTCTTCTAATCCAAACCCTGCTCAAGCAGGAGATCCTATACCAGTGATGGCGAACCTTTTAGAGACCAAGTGCCCAAACTGCAACCCAAAACCCACTTATGTATCGTCGTGGTCCATTGGGTGGGCGTGGTCCATTGGGTGGGCATGGCCCAATGAGTGGGCATGGCCCATTGGGTGGGCGTGGCTGCAGTGGTGACGGCAAACTGGGTGGGACTAAAAAGTTCAATCAAGATCTTTTTTTTCCTGCGAGAAGTTGAAACTGATTGATTAAACCTTTTTTTGCACATGGCGGCAGAGGCCTAAAACAGAAAGGTTTTATAAAACCCAGCTGAAGGCCTAGGACTGGGGCAACAGTGCACATGCCCACAGAGAGGGTTATGCGTGCCATCTGTGGCACGCGTGCCATAGGTTCGCCACCACGGCCCTATACCATTTCAGACAAGTGGCTGTCCAATCTCTTCTTAAAAGCGTCCAGTAATGGAGCACCCACAATGGAGACTGAGGTGGGGATATGATAGTATTCTTCAAAGGTCTGAGAGAATGCTACACTAAAGAACATCGACCTTGATGTTCTTGAATACAGGACCCAGAACAATGGATCTGAGTTTCCAGAAGCCAATTTTAATTGAATGAAAACTTCCGAACAGTAAGTATAACTTGACAGTGGAACCAGTTTCCCAGAGAAGTGATTATGGTCTCCTTCACTGGATATGTTCAGATAAATATCAGAGAGTCACCTATTGGGGCTGTGTTTAATTTGGATCCTTAAACTGAGCAGGTGATTGGGCTTACTGGTTTGAATAGCCCTTTCCAAACCTGTGTTTTGAAAATTCTGCTTTCATCTTGGAGGAAGCCTGTCACTAAAAGTTGACACCAATTTGATGGCAAATCATCAGTCAATCAATCAAAAGGATTCTGCCTCCATTTCATTGCACTTCTTGTTTGGGTTACACTGATGTGCTCTGTCCAGGTAGAATTGACGCACAGAATAATAGTTTAGCCATGGTACTTTCTTTAGGTGATTCTATTGGAAGGAGTTTAAAAGCAAAGCTATTTATCGTAGGGCTTTGGAATAGGGGAAAACACAGCATTTGCATCTCAGGATCTTTCCTCATGGATGAGCTGAAGTTCTGTCCACCACTGTAGCATAAACTATGATGTTGTATCGCTGCTTCCTATCCTGCCTCTACTCCGTTTCCCAATCATGCAGTCCTCTGATTTCCTTCTAAGTAAGAAGTAACAATGCCTGTGAGATTTTATACTCCTGGATGCAGCCTTTGGAGTGGAGATATACGTAAAGGTAAAGTAGTAACAGTTGGTGACAGTACCAACAATAATTGAATTCAGAGACTGGGGAAGAGATGAAGATAGAAGAAGAAAATGTTGTCCAGGAAGGTTTGTGCCAAGGTTGCTGGCAAGTGGGGAAAGAGCTTCCATCCTGAAATAAACATGACATCAGGGCCAGCCCAAGTAATCTGTCATCCTTCTCTTTCTGGGTACAGAAGACTCCTGATGGCCACTAACTCATTTTAACAGAGTAGGAGCAGAGCTGTGTTAGTCAATGGCAAATTATCAGGAGGAGTTTGGTAGCACCTTCTCCAACTAATAACACCTTTACTGAAAAGCTTTCATCATCTGCAGCTCACTTCATCCTAGACTGATATAGGATTAAACTGAGGTGAGAAGTGGGGGAAGCTTGCACTTGCGTTATACTCATGCAAGTGACATGTAAGACAGGTTCCAAGTGTACCAGATAACAAGTGTATTGTGTTAACAACCTTTTGCATGTGCTTTTAATAAAATTAAAAGGTGCTACCTAACACTGGAGATTGAATAGTGGCATCTAAGAGACCTGAGCAAGCATGCTTGGCGCAGGAAAAGTTTGAAGGCCACACAGTTTTGTCCTCTAATAAGGAGACATCCCAATAGTGTCAATCACAGGGCAATGGTGCTAGCTCTTTCAGACTGTGCTGCCTAAGATAGTTGTCTGAAGCTGCCAACACTAAAGCCAACCCTGCCATATGCTGATGTCCCCAGTTTACCTCACTGAGTTACTGGAAGGATAAAAAAAAGGAAAACCTCAAGGTTGTCATCTGGAAATTCTTGACAAAAAGCAGAGTCTGGGTAGGAATAAGTAGATATCCAAGGCATCAGAAGGGGAAGCACCAGCTGCTCTTCCCAACATCCAGAGGCAATAAAGAAGCTTATTCAAATATTTGTCTAGTAGAGGCTATCTTTCCCAACATGCTATTTATTTATTTAATTTCAGCAGCATGGAGTCACTTAAAAGTATAACGAAACAGGCTGTGATTTACAACAGTTGCTTCTGCTGAGATTGTGCAGACAAGTGGAGGGAAGTTTCTCCAGGGCCAAGACAGGTCCTACTTAACTTTAAATCTGAATAGATTTGATGAAGAGATGTGTGTGAGGTCCCTTACGGTGTCAGATGTTTAAAGGGGTTCTCTCAGAGCTGCAGCCTGAGACCCTTAATCAGCGACAAGGGGCAGTGGAGAAAACCTGACCAAAGGCACAAAACTCCATGACAGATGCCTCCAAGCCACACAAACAACGTCCCCGTTGAACCCAGGCAAAAACTGATGTCAAATGCATCCAAGCCGCCTTTCTCCCAAGCATACCCTTTAAAAAAATTAAACACTCCAGGGGGGGGGGAGTTCTGCGCTGTCCAGCTAGTTAACGATAAAAGAAAGGACCATTTAAACCAACAACAACAACAAACCGCCAAGAACCACCACCTTCCATTCTTCAAGAGGTTATTCTAAATCGAAAACCGGCCACCTAAGTGTCCCAAAAGATTCGCCAGTTTCTCTGCACGTTTAACCTACTGAAGATCAGGCAACCTTCCTTCTGCTTTGTGATTTGTGGAAGGAAAGGCGGTCAACGTTTCACGCGAAGGGGGCATTCCACAGCTTCGAAGCTGGCGCTCCCGTCTTTTTCCCGGCTCGGGGAAGCCACTAGACAGGAGCGCACTCGGCGGGCAGGTACCAGACGGAGCAACGAGAAAGGTGTTTTTTTTTTTGTCTCTCTCTCTCTCTCTCTCTCTCTCTCTCTCTCTCTCTCTCTCTCTCTCTCTCTCTCTCTAAGCAAGGAGGAACGGAGCGATGGTAGTGGTGGCGATGATGATTTCCAAGTAATTAAAACCTGACGCCCTCCAGGTCATGTAAAATAGATTGTGCATCCCAGCAACCCCAGGCAGCAAGCGAGGTGATCAAAACTGCCCAGGAAAGTAGCAAACTCCAAGTGGACGGAGGTGGGCAGCTAAAGAGCCAGATGCGAGCTAGGGCACGCCAGGTTTAGTCAAATTTAACTTGGAATATATAATCTGTCGGCTCCCTTCCGTTCAACAACCCAATTTACCTCCCCCCACCATCAAGTTCCAGCCCGTTAATCCACCGAGACGATTCAAGAAAATCCGAGCTCTAAGGGTGTCAGCCCGAAAGTGATGAGGAAAAGTCTAGATCTGAGGAAAAATAAGCAAGGAGAGGGGGAAAAGGAGAGGGGGGGTGGGAAAAAACCCAGCACCCTTATCAGGACCAACGACCTTTTATTCGGACCAACCGAGATGCGCCAGACTTCAACTTGTCCAGAATCAATCAGACAAAAACAATACCGAATATACCCGAGGAAGACGCACAAGGTGTAGAGCTTCTGAGCCTGTGCAAAGGGCCTGCCACCCCCTCCCCCCTTCTACCTCCAGCGGCTCCTTCAGGTGCCTAGCGGGCGTGGGAAGGGGGGGGAGAACAGATCTGCCCCAACGACCAGAGAGAAAGCTCCGAGTCCTTCGGAGTGGACTTCAGGCAGAAGTTCGCCGCCCTGCCCCCCGCGAATGACTCCAAGTTGTCTCCTTAATAACTGCATTTAACTAAGAATGGGGGGATACGGGGTGCCTGAGACCGGGCGGTCGAAGAAGAAAGACCACCTGAGAGCAAAGCACTTACTGTAGGGGCAATTGTCCTTCTTGGTGCCGCTCACGTTCCCGTTCTTCTCAATCCGGAGGAAGAACTTGTTGAAGCAGTAGAGTTTCCTCCAGCGCACGTCTCCTCGGAGGTGATCGTAGCTCCGCACGTGTCTCCCCGCGCTGGCGGCGGCAGCAGAGGCCGAGGAGGAGGAGGAGGAGGAGGAAGAGGAAGAGGAAGAGGAAGAGGAAGGGGAGGAAGAAGAGGGGGACGAGGCGTTGGCGGCCTTGAGAAGCAGCATCCCGCGCCCGTGTTCATGGCTGGAGGCGGTCAGCGAAGACATCAGGCAGAGCAGCAGCAAGAAGCCGCAGCCGCCGCGCCCGGAGGAGGAGGAGGAGGAGGAGGAAGGCGAGGAGGAAGGCAGGTGGGCAGAGGCGGAGGCACCCTGTATCAGTCTCCATCTGCACATTGTACTGAAGCTCTGGGCGCTGGGCGAGGCGGCCTCATGGAAAGAAACATGCTGGGAGGGCGAGCTCCCGGGCGAGGCGAGCGGACAGCTGGTGGGGAGCCCTCTCGCTCAGAGCCTCCGGCGCGCTGGTCTGGCCTGAAGGGAGGGCGCCGACATCCATGCCTCAGGGGGCCAGCGCTCCGAAAAAACGGCGGCCTTCCCCCTCCCCTCTGCCTCGGGGGGCGGGGGGGGGAGCGCCTGACGTCTGCCCTGCGGAGACTTGGCCCTTCTCCGCCTCGAGGGGGAGGCGGGTGGGGGGGCGCGGCGGGCGGTTGGCGGTTCCGCCGCTCGCCGCGCAGGGAAGGCGGCTCGGGTTGCCTTACGGTCCCTCTCGGCGAAGCGATAGCAAGTTCGCGGGTGGGGGGGGTGGGGGGGGGTTAGGGAGCGGGAGAGACGGGAGCCCAAGGGAAACCACGCGCGCCCCGCGAGGCGGAGGCCACGATCCGGACGCCGAGCCCACGCGCGGCCACGGGCCGGGGGCTAACGGGGCTGGGTCCTCGGGGGTCTCTGCACCATCTTCCCAGGCGAAGCTCTGAAAGAGAGAGAGGGAGAGGGAGAGAGAGATGACAGGCGAGTCAGCAACCAGAGGCAAAGAATGGCTCTCTAATCGAATCGTTTTAAAAAATCCAAATAAAACGGGTTCGCAAATCCGGGCTGGGTGGAAGTGGGGGTGGAGAAGTCGCCCTGTCCACCCACCCAAACCCCCCCCCC